TGGTGTGTGTCATTTGATACAAGATTGATTCTTCAGTTTCCTTTAGAAAGTAGCCTAATTGTCACTACTTGTGAGTACTTTTGTATCTTGCCATGAAAATACCCGCCAGCCCTACTTGCTATCTTCCCCTACCAGGCCACTTCAATCTGAAATGCAGATCTCAGCGCCTGACCTTGGATGCCCACTTTGAAGAAGCTGGATGAAATCTCAAACTTCAAAGCATTTGCAACTTCTGGTCTGAAGCCTGAAACAAATGACTGGCATGTAAACACGCCATAAATACCACCTTCTATAATCTCACCTTCAACTTTTATCAGGACTGAGGACACTCAATACTAAATTGATACACATTTACATTAAGGTAGCAGGAAGCTGAAACTCCAGGCCAAGCCACCATTTGTCTTAAGTAAACGCAGCATGTCAGCAATTCTGTTTACTCAATCCAAGGCTGCTTTCATTTCTTGCTTGTTTTGCTATATATTTATATTGAGGGAACACTTTCTCAGCAGCTTTTAGTCACTTCTTCAATGCATTTTATGAGGAGACAAAGTCAAATCACTATTACTTAATTAACACAATTGTGAAGACTTCACTCCAGCTACACAATAGCTCTCCTAATCTTGCAGAAGGATGCATGACTTCATTATTGAGTATATTGTTTCCTATAAACATATAAAACCCCTACAATAACAATCCCATCAGCTGAAATGAAGTTATCTGAGAACAGAATTAAACTCTAAATGACCCTTTGCTCCACTCCATAGACCCCTATTAATAATTCTAATCTAATCAGTGTGGATAAATGTACTGTTGCAGCCTATGCCAGGCACTCTGCCAGGAGGTCCTACTGCAGTCCACCCGATTCATTCCAGTCCAGAGCTTCTCTGGAGAAGATGCATCTCGCACTGAGAGGCCAATGCCTGATTTCCTCTTTTGTTATCTTTTAGTGGCAAAGTCATGTCCTTGTAACTGATAGACACTTTTCTTTGTAAATAACCCTGGAGTGACTGATAGAGCTTTTGCCAGACAAAGCCTGTAAATAGCTAGGCATTATTCATGCCAGGCCTGAGAACACTGTGTCACGGCTGACAAATTTATGGTAGATATGAGCTCACCTCTTCCACAAATATATACTTTCCCAGCAAATTCATCACATGTTTTAATGGCCCCATACTGAATTTGTCAGCTGTCTGTCCCTGCTCATTGTTTCCTTTGGATTCCTGTCAAGAATTGTTTGTTAAAATCATCTCCCTCTCCTATCCTTCAGCTGCTAGCCCCAGGAAAGATCAATGGTGACACATCTATTGATAATATTTTATATTCAGCTATTCAGGTCATAAATCATTTTAACAATGCTGATATGTTTATTGAGTGTCTGCTGGCATTGCAATTACACAGAAAGTGATGTCACTCTAAATCTTGGCTTTGTTGGATTGCATTTGATTCCTTCCTCCCCTCTCCCACCCCACTTCATAATTAAAATCTGTCACTTTTATTTTTGCAGTTGCCATATTAAAAGCAATGAGAAGTTTGGCATTTCAGAGGAGGTATGGAATCCCTGAGCCTCTGTCTCCCATTAAAACCAAATACACAAAAGCATTTCCCATTGGTATACGAAGATGCTACTTCAAGCCTGTGCAGATCCCTAAGAGTACATAGGGCTGAGTGAGAGAGCAGCAGAAAAATGCTATTTTGGCTCTCTGCTCCGACTCAGCAAACCAAGCAGAGGCCCCTTCTCTGAGCTCTGTGCAGCTGTCCGTTGTCAACCTGGCACCTCACATCACATACCAGTGGGAAGAAGACACCAATCCCCTGGGAGGGCATCAATTCGGCAAGGAGAATTGAGATCAGTTGAGAACAGGCCCCAAGGCATCCTGCACGCTGCGTCAGCCAGGCTGCCTCCTGCTCACACACTCACACACGCTGCTCCCCCTGCAGATCCTCTATTGGAGACACTTACCAGGACAGCTCTGGAAGATGAAGAGAACCATTCCTACAGCTCCTTCAGTTTACATCCTTGCATCTGTGGCTCCCGGAACTCCTAAGCGGTGCTCCCCATTGTGCAGAGGTAGCTAAGTCCACCATCCAGCTCTCTACATTTTTTTCACCTCTTAATTCATGACCACAAGGTTACACAGATATAACATTATTAAAAAAAAAATAAAAATCAATCTAGGACTTTGCAATTTATTTGAGACTGCTTTCCTCCTTAGCAAGCCTCTGCTGTACATATCCAAAGAAAAGACAGAAAGCAGGAGAGTGCTTGGCCAACAGGAAAAGTCACATTTGTTCCTTGAATGCAAAATGTCATCACTCATTAGGGAAGACTCAAAAGCAGAGTTTCTCTCAATGCAGGCAGCAGCAAAGATTTACACCATTTCACCCTATTGCTAATTTTAGTGTCTGCCCTTTTAAAACGTCCTGTAAACACACGAAGGAATGATGTGGGTATATAGAAAAGATTATTTTTTAAACGCATAAACACAATGGTTCAACAAGCCTAAAGCAGTTTTCAGTGGGATGCATATTTTTCTTTATGTACCCGGATATGCAGAACTGATTTTTTCATTACCAGAGATGGGACACACCTCTAAAAATATGTTTCAAATATACAGCCAACTACCTCTGAGGTGTCCCACTAATTTGAAACTTTTATGATCTGCCTTCACAAGCCTATAAAACTGGACAAGAGTGCTGATGAGAATTTCAGGCTGTATAGAAACACACTAACAGTTTTTCCTGTGGTACATTGGCACATCAACGTGTAGATTTAACCTCTCTTGTGGCTTTCCAGAGCGCATTGCTTCTAAAGGCTAGATTCAAATTTCATTCATCCCAGTATAATTTCACTGTGTCAAAGGATATTACTTTAGATCTACACAGACTGGATCAAGAACACAGCCTGCTTGAATTTAATGGGTCTAGAAAAGAAGAGCAGATCTGCCCAAACGAGAAACTCAGAGCTGTACCAAAGTCTGGACTGTGATCTGGCTTCTGGGTTTGCAAGCGACCCAGATACATTTACTGTGTGGATTTTAGAATAGATCTGAAAATTGCAGGAGCCCGAGCACCACAGACAAGCAAAAATTCCTGGCTGATAATTGTACTTTTGCTTTTGCAGGTTGCCTTGTTCTCCCAGTAAATGTTTCATTGAATCTTGGCCAAGTCTCAACATTTCTTTTTTAGCAAAGCCCCCAGACCAGACTACTTTCATATGTTCTCTGCCTTTCTGCAAACATTCTGTGGCTTCATAACTCTGAGAGGTATTTTCCTGATACCAGTGCTTCCATTTTCCTCAGCACTGAATTGTGAGATAGCTTATATCCTCTTCATCTACATCTTAATGGAAATTCTTGTAAAGAAGCGGGAAGCCTAGCTGTTTATGTTGGGAATGCAAAAGAAATGCACTGCTTACAGGGGGCTTAGCCTAAATTTGACTGAAGTCACAAAGAAACTCTCTGACTCTTCTGGCCCCTTAACAACTGTACATTCCATTATAATGACTGCAGGCATAAATCAGTCCTGAGTTATGCCTGTCAGATAACCAGTTAGATATCTACTTAGCCATATTTGCATTCAGCAACCTAATTTATGTACACACTCTTCAGTACCATGTGTACATAGATAGATTACAAAACTTGATACATAAAATTACAATAATCATGTTTTTCACTCTAAACTACCTCTCCCACCACCATGTACAAGTAGAAGCCAAACATTCCTACCTAAGGCAGGCTTTTAAATCTGATTGAGTTGCTAGGCACGGTGTAGATATGGTGGGAATGAGAGAGACCAGGGGTCGAAAATGTCTCCGAAAAGGTCACAGGTCCACCTAACTTTGGGCAGCTAACCACAGTGCCCACTTTAGAAGTCTAAATCATCTTAAACTGCCCTTATTATCAAATGGAGAGTCATGGTCTTTTCCGTGATGATGATTTATTCTAGCTGAGACACCTTTCTGTTCCCATTAGAGTGGTACCTGGCATTTAGGCACATCTTGTAACTGCTAAAAGTCAGATGGGCTGAATCTATACCTACGAGGTTATCAAATGTAATTTACTGGGATACAGATGCCTAAATATATCTAAGGATTTGGGTCAAGACACCTATTTCTCTGTTAGGGCTCCCTTAACAATGAGCACTGTTTTGTCAAAGGGTGTTACCAAAATCAGACAAATGCTGAAGTTTGGTCACTCACTTCTATGGACTGCCTTGACTCCATTCTTATCCATGACACTCATGGGCCAACATGCCTGTACCCCCCGAAGATCTGCCAGATCTCACGAACAGTCCCAGCTCAGGCATCTAACAAAGTACATAGAAAGCATGAAGTAAAATTTTAGCAATGATAATATATACTGGCAAATAAATTTGATATATTATTTGGCTGTATTTATTGTCAGGGGAACACAAATGTCTTTATCACCACAGATTCCAGAATATTTCAAGCACGAATGTGGTATTGTGTTTGTTTTTTGTATTTTTGGGCAGTTTCCTATACTGTAGTCATAGCAAACCCAACTCTCCAGAAGACTGTGAGAAACTTAATTTCCCCAGGAATTGTTTATTTCCATTTTAGCTTATTCTGCTAAACTTTTCTGTACCAGTTGGGGTTTCGACGCTGTTAATGCTTTTGCACTTTAAAATGTAACAGTGACTGGGAGGAGGTGATTCATTCCCACATTCACTTTGCAATAAATTGAAGCATGTGCACTGCACAATACTTGTGCCAATTCCATTATTTTATACACAAAAAAGTCATTATGTTCCAAAGTATTATCATTTCCTTTCTTCCCAGACAGTGACCGTCTGTAACACGTTATTTTGGACAGACTCCCTACCAGATTCTGGGTATTCCCCCACTTCCAGAACCATTCCTTACCACAAAAACAAAGAAGGGGAAAAAAAAGAAGTAGAGGGAGTTTGGGAAATTCAGGCATATTATACCCACAGGTATTGCTCACCTATTAGCTCTAGCTTGATTACTGATTTTCACTCACCCACTTTCCCAGGAGCAGCCTTTAGCGGAACTGGCTATCTTTACACAGCAAGTTATCTTACAGATCTCAAACAACTGCTTACAAATGGGCTTTTCCAACAGGACACAAGCTGTGTTTGATTTAACTCAGTGTATATTTATGTGACAGAATCTAACCAAGTTGGACTTTGTGCCGTAACCATAATGTTTGCACAGTTACACCTGGGGAGGAAAGCCCTCCCACTACAGTACTAACAGGATGCCAGTGGCAAGAAAGTTTACATAATAAAATCATGGCTTAAGGGATTTATACATCTGTCAGTAGAGCAGTGATGACAGTCCTCATTTGTAAGCATGGTACACAACTTCGGTGGAAATAAAAGATTAAGGATAAGGCCAAATAAGATTCCCTGCAGATAACTGCATCCTATCGCATGCCCATGCAAGGACCCTGAAAGGCACTATGCTGGGAAAATGTCTCTGGGGGAGACACCGTGTCCTGGCTGTAGACATGCTCCTCTTATCATCCAGCATGGCCAGATGTGAGCTAGCTCAAACAGAATCAGCAGCCACAGAGCAATGTTTAGCATGGCACTGGCCCATGAGCACCACTGGACCCATGAGCACGCTCCTGTGGTTCCCACGGTGATCTTGGCTCTCTCGTTTCTCCTCCACCCTTTCCTTCCTTAGATAGCCAAAACTTGCAACCCTGAGAAGGAAGAGGAGGGCAAAGGAACAAAGGATGGCATAATTACCTCCACCTTGGCACCAGCAGCAAGCTTGACATGCAGTAGAGCATGGAGCAAGAGCAGCTCACATTGACTCCAATGCCTGGACAAGGACCCAGAAGCAATGCTGAAAGCTCCTGGTTTAGAAATTTGTGGCTAGAGACAGTGCCCTTTCTTTCATCAGCTGCTATCAGACTTCCATGGCCAGCACAGGTATCAGTCAACCGTGTCAAGAATACACTGGCTTTCTGCTTTCCCAGCTGCAGCATAGAGGAGAAACTGGCTGATTCGAGGGCTGGATGGTGCGGGAAGGGAGATGCAGACAGGAGGAAGCCAAGTAAAAGGCTGCTAGGCTTTTGTAGCAAATGAAAGTGGCAGGCAATAAAAGAAGGTTGCAGGAGAGCACTGTGACTCACTTGACTGGCCAAGCTCCTCTGAATCGCCACCTTGGGGAGATGAAAATGCAGGACTGCAGGAGCTCAGTTGAAAGCCCACCTGGCAGCCCAACTCATAAAGTAAAACCGTCTGGTGGTTTCAAAGCTCCGCAGCCAAAAGGAGTATGGGAGGGGAGAGAAACTCCAGGAACCCAGAGGAGCAGCTCATGGAGACAGCAAGGGGGAGAGGACCGAGATTCCGTTGCGGATTTTCTGTCTTTAATGGATCCCTTCCTCGTTCACCCCGAGCAAGGCAGCTGGCACGTGCTATCTCAGCATGCAGATGGATCAGCAATGTCAGATGTGCAGCTGTGCATATTTAACACACAGGGATCTTATTATCTATTTGCTGGCTAGCCAGCAGCAGGCTGATTTTGGAGGAGATTGCTCACAGTTGTAGAGAGAGAAAAATAGAGAGTAGTCCACAGTCATTAATCTTACACAACAGGCTGTGCAGCGTTAGAGCCAGAACTGCTACTCTCCTGCATCTGTCCCTCCCACCAGCACTAAATCACCCTCTGGTTCTCAACCCCTCTCTGTTACAGAGAAGAAAATTGTCTGGGTTGGAATTTGACACCACAACAGCATGGGCAGCCCTGCTATAAAGAACAACTGCTCCGAATTTTCATTGGTCTCAGGTCTCTAACAAGCCTGTGGTCTTATCACTGGCCAGAGGGGAAAAAGGAGAAAAATGAAGAGTTTTGATGTTAGTCATTGACATTTTCAGGTTGGGAATCAATTTCAAGCTCACAATGAGTCCTTCTTATGTTGAGCTGTGTTCCAGGGTGCCTTGGCTGGCATCAGAGACAGAGGTATGCTGCACACACCATCATTCACTAAGCAAAGTCTGAAGTTTTTAGGTTCTCATTTAGAAAAGCCCCCAAAACACGTCTGATTTGATGCATGTGATGCAGTCCTACTGGGAGTCAATTTAAAGTCCAGCCAGTCCTTCAGGGGTTTGCTGAACTGAAGTCTATATGCTCATGCTGGCTGGAGCCTGTTTTGGTTTGTCCTTTCCCTGTATGCTAGAGCCCCAGACTGATCCATCTCCAAATTAGCAAACACCTGCAGGGCTCTCCAGGAGGAGAGACTCAGCAGTGAGGTTGAAGTCTTTTTATGTGCACAGTCTACAAGGTAAGAAGCACTGAGGGGGTCCATGGGGCTGTCCACAGGAGTAAAAGCCAGCTGAGATCAACTCATGACCAGTTAAGTTCTGCATCCCAAACACCAAATAACAACATCAACTCACTTGCCATAAACTCAGCCAATAAAGCTTGTATGCTTTGGGAAGTGTGTTTCAGAAAACAAAATCTCTGTTTTACCTGCTTATTACGTGGTACCCTCAAACAAAGAAGACTGTGTTTGATCTGGATGATAGCTGGCCATGTCAGCTCTGCAGCAACCGACAACTCATGCTCAGATGATGTATTTTGAAGCCAGAGTGCTTAATTGCAACCCATTTAGCTTCATCGTGTCAGGAAACAGGCTTTCTATTTCTAACACTCGACTGGATATAGAGAAAAATTCTCTGCCAAGAAACAGCACCAGGAATGGAGAGACAAGCAGGTATTGTAAAACAGCCACAACACTGCAAACATTCAGGATGTGCTCTCTGGTCTCTCTGGAGATAGAAGACAGCCTCACCTAGAGGAAAATCCCAGAGAGAGAGAAAGAAATTTCCAGATGAAAGCGAGGTGCTCTCGGATAAAATGGACTTCTTTGAAGAAAAAGTGCAATTCAGAAATTAAAAATATGGGTGATAGTAGGGAAAGCTTGGAGCCACTTGGAACAGATTGAACACTTTTAATAGCAAACATGTCCCATTACACACGATGTAAAAGTAAAATCATAAACTCCTGGCAAAAACTTACAATTCCAACTCTAAAATAAAAGTTACCCAAAGAGAAACATGCAGTGAGAGCCTTCATGTCCATAAAGAAAGAGGACTTTAAGCCATATCCACCTGCAGAGCAGCACAACTTTTGTCATTTCCCTCAAGTGCCTATAAAACACTGTCTTATCAATGCTGAAAACTGGCATCATCAGTAGGGCAGAGCAAGAGGGACACTAGCTGAAAGACACACAGAAAGTGATAGAGGGAAAGCTTAACTGAATGAAAAACTACTTTGAAAATAGCAAAAATAAAACTGCAAGGACTTTTCACAGAAACTGAACCAAGAAAAAAGAAAACGAAGGTTTGGAGGTATTGAAGCAGCATCTCACAATGGCATTCTTTTCCTGGACTGCTGGAAAAGCTGGCCACATTGAAAAGGATGTGATTAAATAACTCAGACTTTAATGAAAGAGATTATGTTTCTCTAGAAAGGAGCAAAGCCTCTGAAAGACTCCTTATCAGCCCATACTGCACAATGAAGAAGAGGTCAGATTCAAGTGGTACATTAGTCAAATAATACCACCTGAACATTTACTTTCAGCTCACTCTTTTTGACGAAGGCCACGGCCAACAATTACTAATGGATAAGAGAGGGTTATTTGATGGAGACCCGACATGCATTACAGCAGACACTGGCATGGTTAATTGATCAGAAGCATCATAAGTGAAAGAGTTATGCTGAAAATAATGCTGTTACCAAGCGATGTAAATGTGCTACTGGTCAGCATCTTTTCATAATTAGGTCATTTAGGAGCCTTTTGGGTCATTGATGGTGGAACAGCAGCCAAATCCCCCAAATATGCCTGCTGTGACAGATGCCCATGTTACTGTTGTGTATAAGCACTACAGGTGCTTGGGAAGAAACAGACCTTACAGCCCATAAATATTTTAGCCAGGGCAGATGAATAATAAATTGGTGAGAACAACATAGTGACATGAACTCATGTGAAACTATACCACACACTGTGAACAATATGGCCAACTGCATTAAAGCAGGACACTAGAAAACATCCTTAAGAGCTGGTCATCATTCTTCTTGACCCTGTTTCGTGGTTCCACAACAAAACCTGGCCTCTGTGCAAACACTGCAACCAGTAACAACAGAAGTGCTGGCTCTCTGCATGAGTTAAAGCTAGAATAACCTAATTCCATACTGTTGTTCATAAGCAGCTTGACTTGCAGGGAGCTAATACAGCAGCACCATGCATGAGATTTGACAGAAATAAAGGAAAAACAGCAAAAGTAGCAGGAAATACATTTCTGGTATCATCTGCTTCTTTTCCACTTCTTCCAAAGAAATAAGTTCACAAATGTTAACTTTTTATTGAAAATCAACATAATAATTAGAAAATGCCCAAGAACTTTCATCCTCAGACTTGAAGCACGCAGGCGAAATGGAAGCTAAACCCAAATCAATCCATTCTGCTTCCACATTATAAACTTGAAGTAATACTAAAGATGGCATGGCAAAATAAATGAATTAATAAATAAAAAGTCCCTGATTTTCCCATTAAAGAAAAGAATTTCACATCCCCAGAGCCTGGGAGAAAATATACAGATCGTAAATCTCCATCACTCTTCTCATTTTAAGTTCTTACAAAGCAAAATCTAAGCATCCATGTTCTTACAGCAGCTATCTCTGGTGCCATTCGAAATAAAAAAGAAATCTACCCTAAAACAATAATGAAACTTGATCACACATTCAGGGTAAAAATAATCTTTCTCCCCAGCTGGAAAAAAACTCCATTCTGCCAAACTGATCATCACGCCCGTGTCATACTGTGCCAAAAAGCAGACTGAAATTATTCAGGTGCATTCCACAGCCTTTAAGTGGTTCTGGCTCAAGCTCATCCCGACCCAAACCAAATTCACAAAAGTGAGGCATAGGTAGATGACAGTGATACCAAGCAGAGGAACATAATCACAGGGCCTTTTCAGAAATCATCTGCTAGACCAAATGCTCTTTTTTTTCCCCTGGCTCTCAGATTATAACTCACTGATTTACATTGGAATATTATTTAATTAGATCAGCACCAAATGACTCATCGTATTTTGTCACTTTAATGATTCTTTATATTTCTCCAGTTTGATGGGTTAATCACTGCCTATCACAGTTTATGGCCTCTATCTTCTTTATTGTGTTTTGCTTCCCATAAGCTATCTAAGGTGATGTGAACTTTGTGCTATTGACTTTTCTC